TACATCATTTCACCATTCTTGCGGAAGTGAAATAAGGTTTGACTTCAATCAGATTAGTTGGAAATCCTGTCCCTACTGCTTTGGTCCTCCTGTGTGAGATAAGTTTTCTTCTTGCAGCGGAAGTCCCTCTGGTGCGTAGGCAAACAATTATGTAAATAAACGATGAAATCTGACTACCAGATATTGTCGTGGAAGTCGTAGAAAAAAAAAAAGTACTCTGCCCCTATTGTGGGGGAATTCAATAAAAGCAATAAGGAGGGTTTCTGGTGCCATGGCCTCTTTCAAATGGAACCTCACTCTCTCAAGTAACATTGACTATTTTTTTAATCGTCATGCTGCTAGCATTAGTAAATAGATAGGAAAGTATATATCATGTTTTTTTTTTTTTTTTACTTTTCTTCAGTTATGTCCTGGTTTTTTGCCTAGGCTAATGATGTCATACATTCCAGGAGTCTTCGGGGGGGTTGCTAAGCTAAGCACACCCTTCTGCCTGCATGCCTTGGCTAAGAGCAGATGGATTCCAGGAAGTAAATGCTACATGAATCGTCTGCTCTTACTCTAGATGGCCACGGGCAGAAATGCTAGAGGTTGTCTTTCAAAGGGATTTCTCAGCAAAATAAAGCAAGGGACTGATCATGAAGTGAGAACAGAGTATCTGCTATGGACAATACTGCCTCAGTACTGACATTGTATGGCACGGGTCCTCAAACTATGGGCTGAATACGGCCCGACAGACGTTTATCCAGCCTGCTGGGCCAGCCGGAAAAAAAAAAATTGAGGAGAGAAAAATAAAACCCAGCAAATAGCTAGGCTGCTCACTGGTTCCTCGGCCATGAGGACCCAGCGAATGGTAGCCTGGAAGCCCAAGATTTCACTTGCTACAGCCAGAGGAGCAACAGGAGAGGAGGAGCGCACACCAGGCACCGTGCATTGTGGTGTCAGTGTACAGTGCATTGCTGTGTCCAGTGTATCAGAGTACAGTGTGTTAGTGTACAGTGCATTTTAAATATTGTATTGTGTTTTTCGCACTACAAATAAGATATGTGTGGTGTGCATAGGAATTTGTTCATATTTTTTTCAAACTATAGTTTGGCCCCCCAACAGTGTGAAGGTTCGTGAACCGGCCCCCTGTTTAAAAAGTTTGAGGACCCCTGTTGTATAGAATATCCTGCTGTTGGCAGAGCATAAAAGGTGCAGCATATGAGAAATGTAGATTTTTGCAGTGCTACCCATGGAAGAAGACTTGATTATGTATAATGGTGGAAGTGGGCATCTTGTAAATTAAGGGACAAGCATTTTTATTGCCCTCAGTATATGCCGCTGATCACAGATGAGAGAATCAGGGAACAGAAATGTTCTATTATTATTATTATACAGGATTTATATAGCGCCAACAGTTTGCTCAGCGCTTTACAATGTAACGGGAGACAATACAGCAACAATACAGTTCAACACAAGAGGACAGGAGGCTCCTTGGAGCTTACAATCTAGGAGGGAGGGGCTAGTGGTACAAAAGGTTCTAGCACTTGTGTACAGATTTCTGTTGTCCCACCTCTGTATCCCACTCCTTCGGTGTGCCCCTCTGTTGTCCTACCACCTTACATCACCCCTTCTGTGTGCCCTTCTGTTGTCCTACCACCTTATATCACCCCTTCTGTGTGCCCTCTGTTGTCCTACCACCTTATATCACCCCCTTGGTGAGCAGGCTGCTGCAACAGTTCTCTTCTATTTAGAAAATGCTAGTTGCCTGGCTGTCGTGCTGATAAGGCTTCCATACCTCTGGCCAGCAAACTGGAACATGTATTCAAATCAAAGTTTTGACTTTGTTCTGAGTATCTTTGCTGCATATTGTTCCTGGTTAGATACTCAGAAAATATTGGAGTTGCAAGTAGAAGTCAGAAATGGCTTGCATGTTATACCACCATACATCACACAGATTATTTACCTTGGCGTTCGCCCTCAAGCAACATTTGTTGTAAGGGTTCTTCAGGACGACAAATCTCTGATTCATCTTCCTTGCAACAAACTGGATATTCTGGTTTATAGAAAAAAAACACATTTTACAGGAATGTTCCAACAAATGAAACTGTTTTGTTTTCACGGCAGGCACCTACAATGTATACGTTATTTCCCAATGTTAGGCAATTGTCACTGAACTTTCTATAACAGGAATAATCCCCAACTAGTCTGAGTCAGTATCAGAGGGTTTTCACCCACACATTGCATTGCTTGTCATGTCATCACAGCCTTCCTGACTATATCCCCTCTCACATTCCAAGACTAGAAGTCATGAATGATCAACTGCTATATTTTAGTCATATATGTGTAGTTCTCCGTAGGATACTTCTGAAAATCGCATCAAATGACTTTGCAGAATATTTTATTTTCTTTTTTTTTTAGGTAAAACTGATGGTTTCAGTTGTTTATTACATATAGATTCTGTATTTTTAATTGAGAAATATAGTATCCTCCCTTACAGACAGATGTCTTTCAAGGGTGTGGAAATTTTTCAAAAAAACTACTTGTTCAGGGACAAAATCAGGATCCCAATCTACTTGTCCCTCATGACAATCTACTTGTCCAGATAAAAAAAAAAAAATACATTTTAACCAAAACCGTATTTAAATCTGAAGTGATATTAGGAATGGGGCTTTTAAAAACAAAAGGGGCTTTATGGCGACTTAACCACTTCCCATCCAGCTCATGTATATAAACAGCCGGACAGGAGCAGTGCAGGGGCGGGTGGCTGTTTATAAATGTCCTCCCCGCTTCCCTGCTTGTGCGCTCTCCCTGGGAGCGTGCACCACCTCCTTCGGACACAGCAGAACACCGATCACTGTACAGGACCTCTGTGTGAGGTCCTGATCATGTGATCACTGATTGGCCAATCAGTGATCACATGAATAGTAGTAAGCAAGGTGTCACTTCCTGACATCATTGCTTATTAATTGTGAAATCTGTGAATGATCACAGAGGTCACATGGTACAAGGCTATTCAAAACAGCCTTGTACCATGTGACAAGCTGTGACCAATCATAGCTCGCACAGTATTTCTCAATAACTGTAAGAATGCAGCCAGAGATAAGGAAATGATTGCTTGTACAGCCTTTATGGCTGTAAAAGCAATCAGTGTAAAAAAAAAAATAAAAAAAATCTTCATCACACCCCCCCCCACCCACAAGTAGTACAGTGTCACTTTGGTGACACTGTACTACTAGGGTGACAGTATGTTAAAAAAAAAAATATAAAAATTAAAAAAAAATGTTTTGAAAAAATTATAATCTTTGGTTATAAACTAATTTGGGTTATTTATTTATTTGCTAAAAAGATAACTGAATACATTTTGGCCAAGATTTATGAAGAAAGATTATTTGCAAAATTTTATTTTAAGAAAAATACTTTTTTTTTTTTTCAAAATGTTTGAACATTTTCATTTATATAGCAAAAAAAAAAAAAAAAAATCCCAGTGGTGAATACCACCAAAATAGTTTTATCTGTCTCAAAAAAATGCTAAAAAAAATTCATATGGGTACAGTGTTGCATGACCGCGCAATTGTCATTCAACGTGTGATAGCACTGAAAGCTGAAAATTGGCCTGGACAGGAAGGGGGTGAAAGTGTCTGGACTTGAAGTGGTTAAACGTGTACGAATTTTAACATTGAGTTGTTTATCTCCTCCTCCCCTCCCTGCCTGTCACCAGCACCACACCTGGGAACTAGCAGGGTAATGAGCACCGACTGGCTGCTCGTCAGGAAAGTGTCAGGCTTATCTTTTATCCCTTTCGCTGCCAGAACCGTTTTTGCGTTTTTTTTTTTTTTTTTGTTTTTTTTTTTTTTTGCACACGTTTTTAAAAAATCATTTTAGGTCTGCAGATTACATAAAACTCCCAAAACATTCTAGATTTTCTGAAAGCAGAGACCCTAGAGAACAAAATAGCAGTAGTTACAATTTTTTTATGTCAAATGATATTACCGCATTATTTCAGTAAAAAATGCAATTAATTTTAGGGCACAAAAAATACAATAAATTACCCATTAAAACACTGTCGGCAGGACAGGAAGTGATCATAATTCTCTAGCAACTACACAGAAATAAATGATTAGTAGATTTTTATTTCTGTCTGTGTCCCTGTTGCAGGTTTTTCCTCATTCCCTATCTGCTGAAACTGTCAGCAGGACAAGAAGTGAGGGTAATGCTGGATACACACAGGAAGTTTATTTTAGTTCAACCCAACATGCTGAACAAAAAAAATAAATGTAGAGATTGCTGTACTGACATATCTAATGTCTCCTCGCAGAGTTATTGTTTTCTGAAAAGGAGACTGCCATTGACTGCGAGCGCTGATTGGATGCTGGTCTTCCAGCATGCTGATTCGACAGAAGCCAGTGGAGGAGCTGTACATAGGTTGAAAGTCAGCTGGTTCCTTCTGCTGAACCAGCTGTTTTTCGGTCCGTGTGTACCCAGCATAAGCCTCTCCTAATGGAGTTCTAGATAACAGTGCAACCTGGGAGGGGTTCTAATCCTTACCAACTCTATCCAAAACTAAAAAAATAAAATAATAAAAAAGGTTTTGGCTTGACATACACTTCATGCGGTGTATCCGTGCTCTGCACCTGCAGTCCTGGATGTACAGGAACAGGCATCAATGAACTGCTAATTCTATTCAGCAAACATCGCCACATTAAAGTACATCCATTATTGTATTTTTTTTATTATAATTGTTAATATAATGTTGATTAGATTGCATTTTATATAATGGTGAGATTTGAACTAGACCTAATGATTTCAATATTTTTCTCCCTTCAGGCCAAAATAAAAGCAAAGGAGGACGAAGTTTTGTTGGCAAGGAAGGCACATTTGACAATCGTACCGGCACATATGGATATACAGTGAATGACTTTGCAAAACAAGTTTTGACAGGTGGCTTGACAAGAGTCTTCCTTCCTTTGGTCATATATCATCGTGTTTGTAGTTGGTTTGCCCAGCAATGCCATTGCATTATGGGTCTTCCTTTTCCGCAACAAAAAGAAACACCCAGCAGTGATCTATATGGCCAACTTGGCAGTGGCCGATTTGCTGTTTGTCATCTGGATTCCGCTCAAGATTTCCTATCACCTGAATGGCAACAACTGGATTTATGGGGAAGGCCTATGCAAAGTACTTGTGGGATTTTTCTATGGGAACATGTATTGCTCAATCCTGTTCATCACCTGTCTGAGCGTCCAGCGGTACTGGGTCATTGTAAATCCCATTTCACACACCCGGTAAAAAAGACTAAAATTGCCTTAATTGTTTCAGCCACAATATGGGTCGTCATTATTCTCAGCACAGTTCCATTGTATCTTGTTGAACAAACCGTTTATGTCAACAATGTTAATATCACAACATGCCATGATGTCTTGCCACTCAGCGTTCTGGCCTCTGACATGTTCAACTACTTCCTCTCTCTTGCCATCGGGCTTTTCTTCTTCCCTGCAATCCTCACCATTGTAGCCTATGTGCTGATGATCAGAACATTGAATGCTTCCATTACAGATGAAAACATTGGTAAAAAGAGGAGGAAAGCCATTGTGCTCATCATTACTGTGCTGGTTATGTGTGTTGTATGTTTCATGCCCAGTAACATTCTGTTGCTGGTGAACTATGCCACTATTAAGGAGACCCATGTTGGCAACATCTACGCCTTTTATATTGTGGCCCTGTGCCTTTCCGCACTGAACAGTTGCATTGACCCCTTCGTCTACTACTTTGTATCCAAAGACTTCAGAGACCATGTTTAAAAACACCTTCCTCTGCAGAAGCGTCAGGACTGTGGAAAGGATGCAGATCTCATTTAGCTCTATGAAGTATTCCAGAAAGAACACCTACACCTCCAGCTCCAGCAACACAAAAACCAGTACCTGCTAGGCAATGTTGTAACCAAGAGGCAATGGACCTTAGACTTGTATCTAGATATGGAAATTTATGCCATTTGTTTGCTGTGTGAGGATGCTGGCCCTTCCAGCACAGGAAATGTGGACATTGTATAAAGAACAAATCCAAGTTTTTTGAAAACTTTCCACTTCTAATGTAGCAAGTGTTTGGAACTATGTTCTGTGAATATATAATACTGATTTATGTTCCTTTGCAGTAATGTCTGTCAGTTCTAGTCTTTTCAGTGTCACTGCCTGCTTGCTCTACTGAAGCATTAGCTGTGATGCTGTAGGATAGAAGTCTCTCAGCCATGTGTACTATAGACAAACCTTCCAGTTACTGAAACCCCGAGTAGCATTCATTTAGAAACATGGAATAATATTGGATAACTTTCAAGTCGCATACAGGGCCATGAATGCACTTTAAAAATTCTGACCTGTTTTCAGCCAGACAAACTTTTGTTGCTCTGCTCTACAGCTTCACAGCTTTGCGTTGCCTTTTCTGCCAGTGAATAGCTCCTTCGATTTACCTTGAACAATAAAAAGTATTGTTCCCTCGCATTTTAAAGTATACAATTAATCTAAGCAGGAAAAGTAATATATTGAGCAAACCTCATTTGGAACAAGCATTTTACTGATAGTTGCAGAAAAGAATTATAAGGAATAGATGGAATGCAGTTTAAGGATGTTTTGAGGGCCCCCATCTGCTTCCCACAGTTAAAAAGGAACCTATTCGGGGTGAAATGATTGAAACTGTCATTGCTGACTTATTTCTGAGGCTGGATTTTCACTGTTTGTGTGCTTGCAATGTACATGGTAATGCACATGTGTAGGTGTGAATGGGCCAATAGTTTCCCTTTTTGTCTTTCACAATAAACAGCAACACACGGATAAGAACCAGCCACTTAGGAAAGAATGGTGGTTCAAATTGACATGCATTTTCATGCAGCAAAATTTGAGAGTTTTACTGCATCAAAATAGACCAGTATGAAAAGACCCTAAAAGGTAAACGCTCCAGGCCAGTCATCCTTCTCCTGCCTTAGGTATTGCTGAGTCCATAGTCTGAACAGAGCATATAGAGTGTAGGGGCTCCCGATATGTACACATGCTCATCCTATGTCCATCACCAATTAAAAAAGGAACAATAAGGGTGACAGTTCTGGTGTTAATTAAAATACATGTGAACTGCAACTAAATGCTTAGTTTTTAACAGAGGCCCATGCAAGGTAGCTGAGGATTTATACTCAACATTTATCTGGCTGTTCATGCAAATAGTGCTCTTTCCAGATCAATCAGTAGTATAAACAGGAATTGTCTTGCTTTACTAGAAGAAAAACCGGTATTCCCATCTGATCTAGAATTCTCTTCTAAGGAATTTAATTGCCACACCCAGAGGAAATTGAGCATTAAAAAAAAAAAAAGTTAGTTTCTTTTTATTGATAAATTACACCAGGACCGAGATAAATATGTAGGATTCCATTGCTGAACCCTCTGGAAAATGCCAGTGTTAGTGGCCCTTTTTGGTTCACAACTTTAATTCACTGACCTGAAACAAGTCTATAGATAAGAACTTCCTGACTTCTCTGCAAATTTCTTGATTTAGACACTTGTTCCGGGTAAATGACTCAGTAGCTATAGTGCAACCAGGCAACTAGCATTTTATAGGAGGCTTGCAATAGCAGCCCTCCTATTTCCATTGGGATATTTCCTTCAACTTAGGTAAACCAGCACTCCCTCCTCCCCATGTGAAGCAGTAGGTGATTAATATTTATTTCTGCTTTATAGGCAGAGATGGAGACATTTTTTTTTTTTTTTTTTATTGCAGTTTCTTAGACTTTGGCATCACAGTGTACAGTACAGGTCACTAAGCTGAATTACACATCTTTCTAGTAATCAATGTGAATTTTAGATAAGTATTTTCTTTACATGTTGAGCAGTAATATTTTGAGCACTGTTTTATATATTTTTGTATTTAGCATGTATTTGATTGTAAAATATTATTATACAGTAAAAGTTTTTGTTTTTGACTGATTTATTGCTATTCATTTGTATTAATCCTAGCAAATGTAGACCTTACTAAGAATGATTTAATGTATGTCCAGCAAAACGTTTACCCCTGCATGCTGTTCTACTGACATTTTATCAGACAGAAAACCACTGCAAAAGCAACTCAGAAATAAAAAAGCTTTTCTTTAGCAAAGTAGGGGATGGCTAGAACCCCCTTTTATAATGTTGTTGCTAGTTCTACAGGAGGTAAACATTTTTGCTGCAGAAGGAGCTAAACTTTTAGCCCTCGTTCGCACTTCACGTTTTTACAGCGGATGTTTTTGACTTTTTAGCATTTTTTTTTTTCTACAGCCAGTAAACTCCCCAGCATGTTATCCTATATGTCCATGCACACATAGACTGTAATCAGTGTTTTTTTGGCAGGGGAGAGTTTTTTTGGCTGGAAAAAAAAAAAACAGAACTAGTGGGTTTCTAGAGGAGTTTTTTAGATGTAGAAACGCGGCAAACCGGCATTTTTGTTGTTTTTTTGGTTAAAAAATGCCACTAAATGCTGAAAAACTCATGTTTTTAACATGACTTTACCCCCAGCTAATGTTACCAGTGTTATTAAAATGCTCAGTGTGCAGGGAGCCTTAATTGTTGTCTGTGTTGCATTTCTTTCCTTACTTTTTGTCTTGTGAAGCTGTTTTCAGTAGGACAGAAAGTGAAGGAAATCTCTCTAAGGCCCTTTTCACACGAGCGTTCCGAATGTCTGTTTTTCATCTGTCCCTTTACAGATGAAAATCGGACCCCCCCATGTATTTCTATGGACTTACAGATGAACATCTTTTTACATCCGTTAATGTCCGCATCCGTTAACATCCGTTGTACGAAAGAAAACCCTATTTTTCTTCCGCAAAAAAAAACCCTGGAACAGACGAAAAACGGATGTGTCAATGGATTGTATGCAGCCCAGCAGGTCAGGAAAGGGGGGAGGGGCACGAGCGAGAGCCCCCCCCCCCCCCCCTCCCTCCTGAACCATACCAGGCCACATGCCCTCAACATGTTGATGAAGAAAAGGGTTGATTTTTTTTTTTTTTAGTTAAATTGCCGTGTTGTGAAAAGAAAACTGGTGCGCATTGGGGCAACTTTACAAAGGGGCTTACATAGACAGTCTATAAAAATATGCAGCTTGCTACAAGTATGCATTCACACTTTGAAATAGTTTGTGAGCAAGTGAGATACACATTAGGATGGCCGTAAATTTCTTGTAATTTCTAGTGGGAAGAAGCTAACACGTGATTTGAAAAAGTCTGTGCCACTCTTTGTAGAGCTTATGGAGTAATACAAGGAATAGAGGTACCCTGTTGGATTTCTGAATGCGTTACACTTAGGGCTACCTTATTATTTATTACAGAAATTTTTGTATAGTGTCAACAATTTTCGCAGTGCTTTACGTACTGTACATTTACATCAGTCTGTGCCCCAAGAAACTTACAATCTAAAGTCCCTCAATCTAATCTACACAACCTAAGGAACTCTCATGCATACATACATACATACATACATACATACATACATACATACATACTAGGGCTAATTTTATACAGGACTAACAGTATGTCTTTGGAGTGTGGGATGAAACTAGAATACCTGCAGGATAGCCATTCACACCAAGACATGTTATAATGCATGTAACCCACTCATTTTGAATGAGTTTCCTAATGGAGTTTGCCTATACACATGAAAAGGGGCTTTGCAGCAGCACACTTGTATTTTTGTTGTGAGCAGGCCTTCACACAGCTTTAGCAGATTGGGTGCAGTGCTCATAATCTGAAAGAACAATAGGAATGGTTTGCTCAAGGAAGGTGGAGCAGGTACATGTAGCTGTTGTGCTGAGTGCTCTATGAAAGTGGAAAGAATAATTACCGAACATCTTTAAAGGTATTCTAGGCCTTTTACTTTTAATGGATGTTTTCACCTTTCTGAGCATATTACACCCATAAAATGCCCATGAACACAATAGTCACAACAAACAGAGTGGGGTAACGATTTGTTGGAGTATTGCAGCATGTTTTTATATCATTTTTAAAAAATTATTATTAGCTCATTATCTTTGGTGTTGTCATGTCAGGTTTGGGGGTCTACAAGTGAGACCTTTCAGATGAGATAGCGAGTCCAAATTGATCAAGAAAGGTACATTTATTACACTGCAGTGGAGATAATATAGCATACAGAAGTTCACCGCGTATGAGATGGACCAAAGTAATCAATATATCTGATATCTTAAAATTAAACTGATAGCTAGATATATATAGTGTGTGTGTGTGTGTGTGTATATGTATGTATGTATGTATGTATATGTATATATATATATATATATATATATATATATATATATATATATTATATATATTTTTTTTTTTTTTCATAATGTCCGGCCGTGATCGTATAGTTTTAGTCCAGTCAGATCCTTATATGCTTAAGAGCAAGCTCAGAGTTAAGTGGGTGTTTAACATCATGTGACTAGTCCAGAATAGAGACTTGTGGTCATCCATCATGACAGTTGCTGGTTCCATTGGCCACAAGGTGCTTTTCTTAACCTTGAAAGAGGAAAATAGATGTCTAGATGCTTACATCACAGGCACAAACTTCAAACCACATCTCCTGAGTAGAAGAAAAGGCAAATGCATTAAAAGCTCTTTTAAAAAAAAAATGACAGTATATTTGTGTACAAGAACATTCATTATTAGACCCCCTATAGTTTTTTCTTCTCAGTGTCCTACTACATTCATGTCCCAGCTATTCAGTGCACCAAAATGAAAATTCTTGGACCAAAACCGAAAATTCAGGATGCATTTGGCTGAAAACCAAAATGGACA